GATTTGGCATACTGTGTGAGCATGGCCACTGTGCTTTGTAAGTAATGGTTACCGGCTTAGTGTGAATCCAAGTGACTGTGGCTTATTTCACAAATGTTAAGCACATAATGGCTTACTGTGACTGTATACCCAGTCTCCAATTCATAATGGCTCTTGACTTTCAAATTCTGTTTTCCACACACTGAAAGCGATGACACACTTCAGTTAAACCTCTATCCTTGATTATCAAACTGCATGTAAGATGGCATCACGTCTATACTAATTTCCTTCTATGCTGGCACAGTATGTTGTATGAATATAACCTAACCACGTGGTATGAACCAGGTCCTAATGTGACATGTTTAGTTTTAGGATGCCAGTCCAGTGATTATTTATTTATTTATTTATTTATTTATCAAATTTGTATAGCCACCCATCTTGTAAGCAACTCTGGGCGGCTTACAACAATCATAGTTTGTATGTACAGCTTACGGTTGAAGGTAATGAGCAAATCTAATCAGTTGTGGTTTATTCAACTAAGCTTAATTAAACATAGCATAGTTTAGCATGATGCACAAGTCCAGTCAGTGACTTGGTATGTGTTAAGCCATAATTTTTTTTTTACTGGGACATCACACAAAATACTGAGCCTAACTCAACAAATCACAAGATATCTTAGGCAATGTGTGCCACTTGACTGAGATAAGGGTTCCCTATTCAAGTCCCTGTTGAAATGTAGAGTTCACTCAGTGACTTGCATCACTTGCTTTTTCTTGGCTCAACCTACCACACAAAGTTGTTGCGAGGATAAAATGAGGGCTTATCCCACATACCCTGCCATTAAATGAACTGCTTAGTCAATTATGGGATACAAATCCTGTAAATAAACATATCATTGCATGAACTAGTTTGGGTTCACTCACACTCAAAATGTAGTTTGCTTGTTTGCAATTGAGTGCCTTGTGTAAACCGAACCTCTGTAAACATAATTTGTGAAACCATCCGAATCGATTTACATATTTAAACCCACGACTTACCATGTAGTGTGGAGGCAGACCTGAGTCTTTCTATGTGAAAAGGGAGACACCTGTCTGCTAGAAAAGGTGACAAATGTCATCGCCAAGCGTGGTAGAGGGGCTGAATTTAGTTGCCAAGTACGTTCACGGAGGCAGGGAGCGTCCTTCCTGCTCAAGGCGGACTCCGTTTATATGCCGGCTGCGTTCGGTAGCGAGCCGGGGTCACATGAGGCAAGATGGGGGTGTTCACACGAGTCTAAATTTGCCTCTATTTAGCGTAGCTCGCTGACCTGGGAGATGGGAGGGAAAGAAACGCTTACATACAAACGTGTTACCTTGACTCTATGATTTATGATCGTCGCAGACTACGAGGGGTGGGGGTGGGAGGAAGGCGGAGTATTTTCTCAGGAAAAGCGGGGGGGGGGGGGGGGAACCAAAAGGGAAAAACAGCAGCCTCCGAACGGAACATAATTTGTGAATTGTCGAGCAGAGCCTCCCTTTCGAATTCGTGGCAGCGCGCTCGCGGGGAAGGAGGGGGGCAATTCGGTCGCCCCACCCAGATTTTGGCTTCTGTGTTTCCCCCTCCCGTCTACAGGGCGGGACCCAGGGCGGCATGGCAGCGGTCGATTGGCCGAGGCGGAGGGGGGCGCTGGTCTGTTGGGAGGAGGCGGGTGGCCATCGGACTGGGGTCGCCTTGTCGCCCCGGCCGAAAGAGCGGCGCCAGGCAGCTAGCGGGAGGTGAGTACCCCGCGCGGATGGAGACACGGCAGGACGAGCTACGAGCAGGTCGCCTGAAGCCCCTCCGCTCCCAAAATGTGTGTCGGGGGTGGGGGATTGCTTTGAGCAAAGGGCGACGCGGCTTCGGTTGGCGTGTCAGATCGACTCGACCGCCAACTGGCTTGCTGTTTGGCAAAGGGCTGGAGGAGCGTCGGCTTTGCGAGGAAGGAACCTGTGCGGTATTCCTGTCGTGCTTCTGGAGGTCGCGGTTGGACCTGGACTCCGGGTTCCTCGTTTTGGGGACTAAGCGAGGCGCACTCGCACCCCTTCCATCGCCATAATTTTTGCGGGAAGGAACCGAGAGCGGTCGCCTCTTCGGCGGCCCTCCTGCTCAAAGCGGAGAAGGTCCTTTGGGGATGGCACGGAGGCAGCCCGTCGTGGGGAGGCAGTCGCAGCACACGGACCCTGGGCAGGGTGTTCCATTCGCACGTGTATGTGTACCTGTACAAATAAGAGTCGAAAAATGGAACACCTCCCTTCCCCCCAGGTGCTCTTGGGGAAATGTCACAGTGAACATGTGACCAGACCAAGTCCAGAGAATTTGGGAAAAGGAACCACAGCCTCGAAGAAAACTTCGGGGCATCAATGTATTTAACTCAGGGAATAGCTGAGCAAAGATAGATAAACTATAGTCTAAATGTAGGAAAAAGGAATATATTTTAGAGATCTAGCCAAAGCCTCTTTTTAATTTACTTACTTTTAGGCAAGGGAACAAATTAAAATGAATGGTTCTGCTTCGCCTCTGGAAAAGCTCATTTGGTCCTGAATTGGATGAAACGTTATCATGATGTGAAGGAATCCCTACAGCCTAAAAACATTGAGGCGGCTCCTGGATGAAGCATACCTGCCGCATTTGATATTAAAAATTTATATCTTATAATTGGAATTGGACATTTGAAACCACCCAAGCTGGCTTATGTAACATATACAATGCATTCATGAAAGAGGACCAATAGCTACAATATTAACATTAAAATGACCCAGATGTCGTAAGCCATGACTAAAGACCCTTCAAAAGGCGGGGGGGGGGGGAGGGGGGGAGGGGGGGAGGGGGGGAGTTCCACTGCCAACAGGGCTGCTGTTTGAAAAGAGGCACACGTGTCAGAACTGTGACCAAAGATTGGTGGCTGTGGCTGAGTAGAAGGTGGTCATTTCCTATGGATGTTCCCTGGAAGGAGGCAAGGGATAGAAATAGGCCTACCCAGCTGGCCTTGGTGAATGGGGCAGAAATATATGGGAGGGGGACAGCCTTATTGTGCTGCCTGTTGCTTCAGTCCAAAGTTTCTTTAGGCTGAAGGAAGCCGTACAAAAGTCTCTGATTCTGGATTGTACAGCTGGGTGAGTCAGTTCCAGTCCAACTTGAAAACCTCTCTTACAGCTGTTTCTCTGAGCTAGTGGCTTTGGGCAGCGGCTATCGCTTCAGGAGTCTATTCAGCTTCCAGATCACTGTGCACATATCACAGTAAGTCATGCTTTGAGTTTGCATAGCATATTTAGCCACAAAGAAACGAAACATACTTTGCATGTTGTGATGTATGAATCCAGAGACTGTGGAGGGCTAGCATATTCAGATGGCCACTAAACAAATCAGGCTGGCCAATAGCTGTGTTTATCTAGCTGTCTTCTCAGCCTCATCCCAGGCCATACCTTAATTGCAAGGTGAGCTTTTCTGAGGTTAAGCCCGTTGCCTGAATTTGGAGCAGCCATCATTTCCGATGGGTTCGCACAACACACAGAACCATCCAACCACATTTTAGCCTAGTATATTGTGCGAATGCATCTTGTGTGGTTAACTACAATTTAAATTGTATACAGTACATTGAGGAAATCATGGGAAATTAACCATGGGTAAATGCAGTGAAAATCCTGTTGCTGTCTGTTGAAACCCTTTCCATCTGTGATGGAAAACTAATCTCTGACAGGCACTGCTGTATCATTATTAATAATTCCCAATTTTTGTTTAAGTTGCCAATATATTTATTGTGGATCCAAGTCATGTGTAGACTGTTGAAACAGACTGCAACATGTAAATGCTCCCCATGTAAACTACTTTCTCTCTCCAACTCACCGTGATTCCATTTGAATGGGTGAACGCAAACTAATGATGCATAGGAATATATTTTATGCCTCAATAAGTTGAACTGTTGTTTTTTTCTTTAATCTGTAAATCCTTTGAATGCCCATATTCAGTTTAAGAGTATTTGTTGTGTAACAACTGGCCAATCCTAATTGTGTAAGATTAAAGATTGGGCTGAAGCAACAGGCAGCTCTGTTCTGCTGGGAAACTGGTAAGCTTCCTTGTGCAGATGGCCCAGGGGTCCAATCCAGCAGGGCACTGCTTGTGTTCTTAAATATTCATATTTAATTGTTCTAGCCTAAAACTATAATGTTTCATGTATGAGGATGAATGAAAACTAATGCTTCCAATGGGCAGTGACTGGGCTCCTGTCTTTATAGCCAGGTGTAGTCCCTGCTCAGTTGCCTGTCAAGGGACTTTGCCTCTGAAGATGGCGAAATGCCAGGAAATCTGTTCTCTGTTCCACAGTCACTAAACCCTGAAGCCCAACATTGCCCAACAGGTACTGGCCATGAAAGCCTATACCAGTAGAATGCCTCCAATGTTTATAAGTCACCAATAGATGGTAGAATTGACATGTTAGAAGCTCTGATGTGTTCTTTAGCATTTGTTCTTTCACTTCAGTTGCTGTGAGAAAAGGTTGTGTTGCTTTTGTTTGTGAAATGGAAGCCTGCAAGTGAGTACTCATCAGTGAGTTTTAAGCAATGCATCATGATTGCATTTTTGACTGCTGAAGAAGTCCCTCCAGTTGAAATTCACCACTGAATGCAGGTTGTTCATGCGGAATATGTTGATCTGAGTACTGTGCATCTCTGAGCCAAAAAATATAAAGATGGGAAACTGATTTGTGTGATCAAGAACAAAGTGAATGAATGACCTGTGAAAGCAGCCAACAAGTTTCACACAAGAAAAGCTGATGAACTGATTAAGGACAATTAGCAGATCACCCAAAGGGAAATTGCTGTCAAATTTAGCATTTCACAGGAACGTGTGGATCACATTATTGATGTTCTTTTATATCGGAAGGTTTGTACAAGATGAGTTCCTTGCTTGCTGATGGCAGAGATGAAAGTTTCAGGAATTGAAATTTGTCTGCAGTTTGTCATGCTACGAGAATGAAGGTTATGAACTTCTTCATAGCATCATGACAGCTCATGAAAGATAAACTCAGCATTATAACCCAGAAAAAAAAGTGTCAATCCATGGAATATCATCACAAAGCTTCACCCATGGGGGGGAAAAAATCAGCAGGTAAGGATTTAGTAAGAAAGCTTGTGGTCACAGTTTTTTGAAACGCAGATGGTATTAATCATATGGATTTCCTTGAACCTGGCACTATCATCAACTCAGATCACTACACTGAAACACTCAAAACTTTGAAACAACAATTAAGCAGGGTTCCGAAACACAAAAAGGAAATTTTGTTGCAAAATACCTCACAAGCCACCCAAGGGGCAATTGTGAAATTGGATCTTGCAGTCTTAACCCCTTCCGCCATACAGCTTAGACTTGACACCATGCAATTTTCACCTGTCCCCCAAATTGAAGGAATCCTTTGTGGGCATCTGTTTGCCTCAAATCAAGAAGTGGAAAGGACTGTCAGGCCTGGTTGAAGAGACAAAGTGTGAAGTTCTTTGTGGCTGCTTGTCCATCATTGGCAGAAGTGTTAATGGTGGTGTTTATGTGGAGAAGGAAATACAGGTAATGAAAGAGCTCATTTCAAGGATTACTTGTTTGATTTATTAATATATCCCTTTTTAAATTAAGTTGTGGTGGTGGAGGCACTGCTTTTCATTCAGCCCTTTTCTGTCTGTATCAATATAACTCCTCAATTGGGGCTTTTTTTGGAGCACCCATGTACGGAGCTGTATATGCACTGACGGGATTTGGAGGCTAATTGTAAGATTAAATCCTTCTCTTAGAATCATATGACTGGATGGCATTCCAGAGTTTCTTGGGTAACAAAGTGCTCTCCCTTTTGCTGATTGTGTCTTGGTGCTCTAAGTGTTCCACAGCTTTGCACCTCTGTCCAGGTGCAAAGCCTTGGAGCACCAGGGCCAGTCAAGATAGCCCTAGTGCTTTAAGGCTTTGCTCCTGGACCTCTCCCAACAATGTCCCTTATGATCCTTCGGCTAAAGAGCCAAAGGTTTGATCCTGGACCCTTATATTTGCAGCATGTACTCTGCCAGTGGAGAAAGGCATTTCTTAACTGAGTTTCCCCTCTGCATTCCAGTGCATTCATTCATTCCACTATTTCTATGCTGCCCATTGAGGATGAGTCCTTCCAAGGCGCTTGAACCATGAAGTCTTATTATAATTTCAGATGTTAAGAATCCAGTACAGTGACACAGAGAAGATAGTTTAAAATTTTAAAAAGCAGCAACAGCAATGTTTTAAACTGCCAAAATAAAAATTAAAAGCAGCAACAGTTTAAACAATTTAATACCCTACCAGCACTGTAATTACAGATATATTTTATTTCAGGAAGTGTTGGTATGTTAAGCAAACATTCCCCTATAAATCTTCAAATTTAGGTGGTACAGCCAGCTGGTGTTTGTGGCACGCCTGAACATGAGCTGAAAGAGCTTTGCTCTGGTAGAATCAGATTAAAATAAAAAAGAACCCTGCCTGTCTTTTTGTGCACTTCTACATTTTTCTCATTGAGCAAAGAATAGCTTTGAAGGGACAGTTTCAGTTTACTTTTAATCTGTATAACTGTAATACAGTTATACAGTTGTTCAGTTTTAAACTGAAGGGACACACATCTCTTCCGTCCTGCAGTCAACAGTCTTGCATATGCTTGTTGTGAAAATCCTTGTACCTTGAAATTCCAAGGTCTCTTAATAGCTGACTGGGTTCACCTATCTTGCTAAGCCATAATCTAGTTTGTTTTTGACTTAGTGGGATATGTGAAGGCATCCAGTGTGATGTACATATGAACCAGCCCGGGCTCAGGTTCAGAAAATCTTGACTTTATGCAAAGTGCAAAGCCAGGCATATCTGCATTGTCCCCAAGAGAGCCACTGAAAGAATTTACATTGGCTGTCACTATGCAGGAGGAGGCTTGGAGAATCACTGGGTGAGAAGACAAAGACTGTGCAGCACAGTCAGTCCCAGGTTTTGATGAGGGGGTCCCCCTCTCTGGAGTGAACTATCCTGCTTAATGACTCCCCTGTTTAGTGACTGTTCAAAGTTACAGTGTTGCTGAAAAAGTAAATTTATGACCGATTGTCGCACTTATGACCATTGCAGCGTCCCTGCAGTCACTTTTTTTATAATAATTTCATTAGAGATTATAGTTATACAGATTAAAAGTAATGCAAATTACAAAAAATAAAAGAATAGAAAGAAAAAATAGTATAGGAAAAAAAAGAAAAAATACATAAAGAAGTAACTTCCACCTTCGTCACAAGTATAAACAATTTTAGCAATTTATTATCTTCTCTTAAAATACAACAAACTATCTCTTCATCCCATATCTTATCTCTTATCTATAAACAGATCCTTAAAACCTCGTCATTCAGTCCTAATCAGCAAAAGTCCATTAAAGGTCACCAGAAATTACAGCATATCTATTTTAAACTTAACCAAATAAATCCACTTTGTATTACTTCCTTTTACTTTTATATTTCTTATCTATAAACAAATCCTTAAAACCTCGTCATTCAGTCCTGGTCAATAAAAGTCCATTGAGGGTTGCCAGAAATAACAACATACCTGTTTTGACCTTGATCAAATAAACCCACTTTATATTCCTTCCTTTTACTTTTAATAATCTTGATCTTTAATCCCTTCAAGTAATGTCCTAGAGCTTCTTTCCTGCTCCTCCTCCCCCTCCTCTTCCTCACAAAATCCTTCAGAACTTTAACAGGACTCTTTTGTAAATCCAATATAAGAAAGATATCCAAGTTGCTTTTCTGGTTTGCCATTTGTTTATCCACATCACTCTTCTGGTTTATTATTTGTATGTCCCTTTTAGTTATTAAAATATCAGCTGGTTTCATTTGTGTATCCAGTATTTCATCTTTTTTCCCTATCATTCTTGTAGCCTGTCATTTTTAAATCTACATTTAAATCAGTTTCAACCTTGGATAGAACTTGTTCCTCTGCCATAACATCATTTACACACAGTCTGTCAATAATGGCAGGCATTCTTAAAATTAACTTCTGAGTCCATTGTTCACAAATACCCTTCAATACATCCAACGTTAAAGTATTTTGCTCCATTCTGTGTTAGTGAGTCAAATGTAGGTGTTCTTCTCCTTTAATTGTAATCTTTAGTTCCTTCTGGTTCCCTTTCATGTTTGACCTTCAAAGTCCCACCTATCTTTTTTTTTTTAAAAGAATTTAAAACAACAGCATTTTCTCATGGGAAGGATTGTTATAATTAATTTCAAAATCTTATTTCAAATCCATCTGGCCCCTTTGTCCATTTGTAACTTTCCAAATCAACACTCTAATCACCCTTTTGCTGTTTAATCCAGAGGAAAAAAGAAATTCTAAGTCCTTAAATTTGTACTTAAAACTTCTTTCACTAAGGATTTAAGGAAACTCACCCAGTGAATGCCATAAGGCTTGCCATTCTGAAGATTCTCAATATCTAAAAGGCAGTAAAAAAAGTAATTCCAAAAGGGATTAAGAAATGAAGCTTGGCTGAACTTTGTGTCCATAGAGGCTACATTACGACTGTGAGCTTAGATGGAATCACTCCACTTCCAGCCACATGACTCATTAAGCTGACTGCAAAAACCTTGGTTCCTGCCATATACTCCACAAGGAGCAGCTGTCCGGAGTACATGTGGGAGATCTCCCAATCTCTTCTTTCTGTATCTGGCTACCGATTTCAGCCGTAATGCCTGCTTGCTCCTTCAGGGATGTCAGTTCGCCATGTCTCCACTGGAAGTATCCACGGTCATGTGATTGAGATTTGGGCACTTTGCAGCTAGTGGGCATTTACAATTGTCACAGCAGCCCACGGTCACTTGATCACCATTTGTGTGCTTCAAAGCGGGCTTCTGACAAGTAGAGTCAATGGAGAAGCTAGCAGTAAAATCGCAAGTTGTGGTCACATGATGTCTTGTTTAATGACTGTGTTGCTTAGTGATGGAGTTACTGATCCCAATTGTGGTCGTTAAGCGAGGAGTACCTGTACTTGGTCCAGTGATTGTTGCCTGTTCTGTATAAGGAGGAGACTGGCAGCGACAACGATGATGATGATTTCCCCTTGTGCCCATCACAGCTCAGGTATTCCTAGAAGAGAGGCGCAGGCAATGGCAGCCAGGGGGTGACATAAAAACAAGGTCAGAGGTCTTCTCCCCTCTGCTAGCCCTCTGGGGAGGAAGGAGCAGAAGTGCTTTGCACATTTAGCAAGAGGAAAAAAGATGAAGGAGGCTGGATTAGGCTGAAGGTTTAGAAATATTTAAAAGGATTTCTGAACAAAGAATGGGAACAGCATGTCTTTTGGGGAGCAGCAGTAATGTACAAGAAAGTTGATTTCAGTTCAGCTCTAAGGCAAACTTTAGAATAAGCTTCCTAAGAAAACCTTGACTCTTCCTGTTGAGTTTTCAAGAAAAAGGCAAGCAAACTCACCAGCAAACTGTTTCACACTTTGGGAGACGTGTTTCTTGTGAGTGGAGCTGTTGTTTTACGCTTGGGAGTTGGGGGTTGCATGCTACAATGTTGCGTGTTGATCTTTGTACACTCAGAGTCACCTGTGTGAGATGAGCGGCCGTATAAATCACACAAATAAATAGATAAAATGAATTACGGGGTTTTATAGACAGGTAGATTTAGCTGTTATACACATTTGCAGCAAATAGTAACATATACTTACTCTGAAGTAAGGTAAAGGTGACATCAAGAATCCAGCTTGATTGCTGGTGACTTAATGGACATATCCATGGAGTTTTCTTGGCAATAGCACCTCCTCGTCTCCTTCTGACTTCCTCGTCTGGTCTACAGCCTTGAGATTCCTGATGGTCTCCTCTTGAAGTACTATACTAGCCGGGCCCAATACCGCTTAGCTTCCAAGCCCAGTAAAGTTGATTGGACTTCATTAAGTAGCATTAAGTAGCAACAAATTCAGTGGGAGTAGTTCAGAGGTGCAGGTAGGATGCAGCCTTAATCTGTTTTGTCACACAGTAGCAGCCTTTTCCAACTCCCTCTTGGAAGATCTTTGAATGGGTTGCTCCTGGAATGATGCAGCCCTGACTTGCGAATGCAGAGAGCACGTTTCCTGCCCACAGACAGATCTCTGTGCAAAGATCTTGGCAGCACATTGCCAAAACAAGGTTTCAGTGTTTAATCTGAGTCCGTAGGCATGGAGAGGTGCAGATCTGTATGGAAATCTTTTCATTAGCAGCCCATAAATGAAAAACCTATTTCCTCATACTCACAAATAGACGTTGGCCAGCTTCACCTAACATGGAATCATGAATGAACGTATATGTATCTAATAGGTTCCTATAGGAAGCTCTCTTGTATTTAAGCCATTATGCCATGTTGCTCAGCATTGTTTGCGAACTCTACTCAGATGCTAATGTATTATTCACAGGAAATCACCATTTCAGAATTATTCATTTTCATGGGGATTGAGATTCCGTATCTGATTTTCTGTAAAAAGCTGCAGCTGGTGTCTAGCAGAGTTCCTTCCCCTACTGAATAAAATGGTAACCACTTAACCCAGAAATAAACTCACTCCCCAAATTTGATTAAGATTTGATCCTGAATAAAGAAGGCTTTGGTGGTGGTGGTAGGGACAGGGTAGAACGAAGACTGTAGTTTGCATGCAGAAGATCCAAGCTTTATCCTGCAGCGTCTCTGCTTTAAGAGGAAGAGCTCTTGTTCTTCTTTTGACTACCAAAAAGTTTCAGCTTGCCAGTGAGTTTTCTGCACCAATTAATTTATGTCCACATAACTGCCTCACACTTTTTTCCATGCAGAATGGGTTAGGGTTATTGATTGACGGTTGACGCTTACCTTTACAAATTTATGTACCCACGCTGTAATCACAAGGATATCACACCAATCATTTATGTCTGTGATGAGCAAAAACTTTTTGGAAATGAGATTGTGATACTAGCGGCAGGCAAAAAAGGAACAAGAGCGGAGTACTCAATCCTATTAAATAGTTGCCTCCATTTATTTTCTTTCCTTTAATAATAATAAAAAAACTTTTAGAAGGAGCCTTCCTTTTCTTTTTCCATGTCCTTAGTATTACATAGAACTGGATTTTTCTTTGCAATATGGCTGTGCCCATTTTTCCCCATCTTTTGGTTTGCGTAATGGTTTCTATATATTAGTTCTCTGACCGTCTCCCTTTGGCATTCATTCGGTTTTCTTATATTTTTTTATACTATAGGTATAATTTTTTTTATGCTGTATTTTTTATACTGTTGGTATAAAATATAAATATAAAAAATATTTGTATATATAAATATAAAAAATATAAATATAAAAAATAAATATAAAAAAATATAAAAAGAATTCAAGCCCCCACCCTTTGGAATATCTTTCCCTCAGAGGTGAGATTGACCCCTTCACTCCTGGCCTTCCAGAGGGCTTTGAAGACCCGGCTCTGCCCCTTGGCCTGGGTGGGGAGGGAAGACACCAAGCGTGGGGATGGCTAGCCCCTTAGAGGCCTGTTGTCTGCAGCTCTGGAAACCATCAGCCCCTTGGACTTTTTCTTGTTTAGTAATGTTTTGTATAGTTTTTATGTTTTATGCTGTATATTTATTGTTTTAACGGATCTTGTGAGCTGTCCAGAGTTCCCCATTAGGGGGAGATGGGTGGAGATAAATCAGATAAATAAATAAATGATAGATAGATAGATGATAGATAGTCTGCTGTCCCCATGTTACTTTGTCCTCATTTCTCTCTTCTTCTGAGAGAATCAAATTAATCATATGTTTGCCACCTTCTTGGGGAATTTAACATTCTGGTTGAGGTCCAGCCCAACATCCCAGATACTTTTTCAATACTTCTTTTTTTTTCCCCCAGCATCCACTTTTGATCCACCTCCAGTATGACAAAATTTGATTTAGGGAGAGTTTTTTCATCATCCAGCCACTTTTTTTATCTTTCTCGTTTTATCATTATGATGTTCAATCCTTGATACTTCCATCTCTTCCCTCTTTTTTAAAAATCTGCCTCTTTTGTTGTCTCTACCCTCAGTTCTGAGGCCTTCTACTGGAGGTGGGTATAGGAGCTCTCTTCTCCCCTCCCAACACACCTTTTTGTCTACTTGCAGGTGCAACTGAAATTCAATGGAGGACTTCACCCGCCTGGGCTACTGCATTGTGGCTGGCAGCTTCGTAGCCTTCCAGTTCTCCTTCTCGGCCCTCAGCCCCCAGCTGTCCTTGTCATTGAGCCCCAGCTACTCCAGCCTTCCTTCTGTCAAGCAGAGTGAATGGAATTCCAGGTAGAGGGTCTCGTGGAAGTGGCTGGACGAATGCTTGCGAGATCTGCAGTTCTTTCCCATGCTGAGTGTGAGAACCTCCATGGAACCTGACAGGTTATGTTCCATGCCTGGTGTGCTTTGCACCGAATAATTGTGTGTGCATGTATATTACAAGAGAGAGTTTGTGTGGCTAGTGCTGCAATCTTGGAATCACCCTTGCACGTTCTTCTCTTTAGATGTGTGTCTACTCTCCACGCAATGATAGTCGGCCTCTTCTGCCTCTACATCCTTTGGTTTGACGATGCTGTAAATGCCAACCCCATCTGGTAAGAAGGAACAGCCTGCTGACTTGCTTACATGCTTCCTGGGGCAAACATGTAGATTTGGCTGCTGCTTTCCCTGGCAAAAGAGAGAGAGAAGATAGGAAGAAGAGGAGGCGCCTATGAGCATGATTGGTCTCATTGTGCTGGGAAGCACAAGGACTGTTTTGTGCTGAGAAAGAATAAGCCTTTGTTTTCCTTTGATTTTAGGATGTGAGGGGTGGAAACAGGGTCACTCCAGGCAAGAGGATCTGCACTGGCCCTGGCATTGGGCCTAAAACGGTGCATACACTCCTGCCCAAGCCATAGTTGCTCCCTTAATCCCGTTCCACTTATGCTGCGCAGAACTGTGCCTCCTTTTTCAGTGAATGGGCTGAGCTGATAGGAGACTCTAAAGCTCAGGAGGTACTGATGCCATTATTGTCTCTGTCTATACCATAGCTTATATTTCTGCTCTTTCTCCCCAACTCCTGCTTGATACCACTTAGCCAGCTTCCTCGTTGTTTGGCTTTGCATGTGGCGTGGCTGAAAGTCAAGGCACTCTAGATTCTGAACCCCTCATTTAAGATTTGGCTGCAGAACGCTCACAGACACAACTTGACTAGAGTAGTTACTTTAAAATGAAATCTAACACAGTATACAGCAATCAAAACATATGTTTGTCTGTGCTCAAGGGTTTAAATCCTAGGCCTTTTCCTTCAACCTTTCCAAGTCAATGTATGTTTCACCCCTCTCTTCAAGGCAGCTGCAGCTGAGAGGTTGACAAAACGGTTTTCTCAAGCCTGGGAAGCACTGGTTCCTGCTACACCACCTTCAATCCTACCACCTATGAGATTTTGCTTACCAGTGTCTGGAACCTTGGCCTTAAATTAGAATTTCATAGAAACATATTAATGCCTCTGCTTATCATCTCTTATGAATTACCATTTCTCATGAACATTGTGCAAAATGCACACGAGTAAGAATAGGAAGAGCTAGTAAAGTAAGCATTTGGTCATTTTCTCATTAATGTTTTGTAGCATCTTACAGCATCATCCAACCACAGCTGTATCAGTTTAACAACATTGAAAAATATTGCCCCAGTGATAGGCTGGTTGATGCTAGAAGAAACTCTGAATGGGTAGGGTGGAAATGACCTTAAAAAGTCCTCTCTCCATAATGCCATATGATGTTGTCCGCAAGGCTGGAGGGTGGGGAGAAATTGGCTTCTAATGAATTAGAAATGGGGTTCCTTTCTCAGTACTAGAGTTTGCCTTTTGACCTTGTCCTCATCCATTCATTCTTGTAGGGGAGATCCTTGGTTGGTCAAACTGAATGTAGCTGTCACCTGTGGCTACCTGCTCTATGGTAAGTACCACACCATTGTGTTTCACCAGGTAGGCTAGCGGGTTCAAGGTAGCTTCCAGATTTGCTGGGAAGATTGTCCTTGCAGTAGTAATCCTGACATATACCAGTCATCTTTGTTATATGATTTTCTTTTCTCTGTCTCCCTCTCAGTCAGTGCTACTAGGAACACCTCCTACATGAGACCCATTACAGCATACGGGCGTGTATCCAAAAGTATTAAGTTAAAGCAAAACTGCCAGGAGCTCATGGCTCCCTCCTCTTCTTTTGTCATGGCGTAGTGAGACGGAGGACTCCTTAGAAGGGAGAAAACTTTGCAAGGGATAGCATAACTGAGGCCAGATGAGGTTGTGTAGGAAAGCAGGGTACAAAAATGGATGTCTGCTTAGCTTGCTTGATGGTTGCATTTTATTGTTGTGCTTTTGTTTTCAATAATTTTGCCACATGCTGCTTTGAACCACTTTCAACTTGGCACTTGAGGAGTGCCAAGTTTTCCAGTGGGATCAAGATGTCTAAATAAATCTGAACAAATGTACAACTGCCTCATGATGTGCTCAGATGTGATATGCCTTTCTTTCCCTTGTCTTCCTCCCAGCCAATGCCACTGGGAACATCTTCTAATGCGACCCATTGTAGGAAATGTACCCTGGACATTTTCCTGCAAGTGGGATGACTTTGACCATTAAAGAGGAGCGACTGGATTTAGACCTGGAAGAGCTGGGTTTGATATCCCATTTCTTAATTGAATTTATTTTACACACCTTTCCACCCATCGCTACAATTTTTAAAAATACATAAATACAGTTTACAGACCACAAGAAAGTAAATAAACAAATAAAACGATGGTCATGTAGAAGGTATGACAGAACAAGTCAGTTTTTATCTGATATTTGCAAGGGAGGGGGTTAGTGCCAGGTTTTTACATGTAGAAGAATTTCAGATATAACTATTATGCAGATTAGAAAGGCCACATAAATAATACATGAACCCTGATGAAAAATCATTATCAATCCCCTTGTTCTACGTTTGCACACGTGCCTGCTGTCTTCAAACATTCACATTGATGGCACTAAGGACAACCAACCATTCATCCCCACACCCTTTTTATGCCACATGAGGTACTTTCCCACACATACACCCTACTTCTAGGAAGGAAGAGCAGTTGAAATATTGGCTTAGGCACTTCTGCTCTGATAGATCACTTTGTCATTGAAATTAGGGCAGGACTTCCCAGATTTTCAACTCAACTCTTGCCTGCCAGACTTAAAGATGCTGCTAGGGCAACAACCTCTATGGTAGTGTTTCTCAACCTTGGCAGCTTGAAGATGTGTGGACTTCAACTCCCAGCTGGCTGGGGAATTCTGGGAGTTGA